TAATAATAATAATAATAATAATAATAATAATAATAATAATAATAATAATAATAATAATAATAATAATAATAATAATAATAATAATAATAATAATAATAATAATAATAATAATAATAATAATAATAATAATAATAATAATAAATAAACAAATAAATAAATAATAATCATCCAACTTCTCTTCCGTCACATGATTTTTAGTTATGTAAATCTTTACCTTTTCACCAGAAAGAAACAATATAAACCCGTTGATTCATTTTGGCTGTTGGTGATGATGATCCTAACATAGGGATGATGATGACAAGATATTTACTATACCTTATGTAATATAAAACTTCTACAACGACGATATCACTCCACTCATTTCATACATTAGCGGAAGTATTTCCAAGTAGCAATCTTGACAAATAGAAGCACAACAGGATAGGAACTTACATGATTTTTGAGGAATTTCGGCAGAAAGGTAAGTTTATTTATCCATCTACTCAGTAATTCATGAATGAAAAGGGAATGAATTTGATTGGGACGTTGTCATCGAGTTGCTTGTTCGACTCCTCTCTCTGTTCATAGTTCAATATCTTTTTGCATTGTCTCTCTCTTTCTTCTCTTTGTTTATTTATTTCTTCGATTACAACATACCTTTAGTATTATTAGCTTAGTTGCCTCCTTTTTAGTTCGGAAAACAGAGTGCCTGCTTAATGAAAGGTAGTGGTACCATGGGTTAATGAACTGTGTAAGAATATTAAAACATATAAATGGTAATATAATACCCTCAGAAGATAGTTTCCAGTAGGCACAAATCCTGTTTACGTCTCTGTACCCTTCACCGAGGCGGGAAGAAAAGATGCCCAAAAAAGAAAAAAGGATTATTTTGTGTATTCCAACTCACTTGCTCAAAATATCTTTTAGTAAGAAACAGGAGGAAAAAGAAAAGGGGAATAATAATGCTTTTCTTGTCCTGCTGACATTTCACTCATTACTGCATGCTTTTTTTTTTCATCGTAGAAATATGTGGAAAGCAATGCGCAGTTGTTCCCAAGAGTAAAACTTTGAAGAGAGATCTAGAACAACGATATTCTGAGTCAGATTATACGTAGTGAGAAACAGATCTCGTTTGACATTCGTTACACACTTCAAACAGGAAGATAATTTTTCTGAAAGGAACAAAATAATCGGGAAGAATGCTAATACAAAGAATCAAATATGCTCATTTTCAGACCAATACTATTATTGGACCTATAAGTATGTGTTTAGTTGACTTCGAATGACTTTAAAGATGGCACATTTTCAATTTTAACTTCAACTTCATCTTATCCATGATAAAGTACCAATTTTTAAGAAAGCAATACGAAGCATGTTTATTCTTAACACAGCGGTGACCATTAAATACTCGTTACAATTCAAAACCTGTGATTCATGATTAGTTGATGCATATGGGTCGTTCATCATCAGCAGAGCAGTGCTGTGAAAATTAACAATCTTTAATTTTAATTTTTTTCAAATACAGTTCAATGCCAAACTGTTATTCACTGTTATTGCGAAATTCGCATCTTACGTGAACTCTTATACCTCCAAGTTAGTCTGAGGTGGTGCATCTCTCGAAATGTGCTTTATCTGGGCATTTTCTTTGTGGTTTATTCTGTTTCCTACTAAAAACTTACTACATCTTTTATCTTGCTTTATTTTTTGCGGGAGTTATTCTCTAGTACTCGTGCCAGCATTGAAATCATTATACGATTGGTCAAGGAATTAATGGACAGTTAAAACCTTAACTGTTGCTAATTAAAGGTTGAAATTTATTAGTCCCTGTGCCACTTCAAACAATAAAACGATGCAATATTCTGCTGTTATCCGTTCGAACACTCCGAAGGAGATTTCTTCCATCCAGTATGTCAATTTTTCGTGTTTTGGTGCATTTTGTTAATAGAAGGTAGTTTAGGGTTATCGAAGTTGTAAGGGCTTGTTTGGTTTGTGATTTGTGAGAGTGAGTTGAGGATTATTAGGACGCGCATGAGAGAGAGGATTACTTTGGACAAGTATACCTACAACTCTGTCTCAGCAGCTACTCACAGTGCTCTCCTACCGGACCAACTATTCCTTATAATCTATTCTCTTTACAGAAATACCTTCAGGTTATACTGTTCATGTTTCAAGCATATCTTATATCTTGCATGATTTGTTTCCGTTCCATTCATCAAGTTATTCGACTGACCGGACCTATTTACCACACATTTCCGACTTAGTACCTCACTGTGGTTCGACATATCAAAGCGAATTACTATGTATTACAGAGTACGTTTTTCTCCTTTAGGATTTCGAAGAGAGGTAATGTCTGTGGAGACAGGTCAAGAAGCAGTTGGCGATCACAGGAATGAAAAATTAACTAATAATAATAATAATAATAGAACTACAGCAAATGACAACGGAGACAGCGAAAAAAACAGTGATGTTGATGCAAGTACACCTTCCGGGAACGTTATGGATGTGGAAAAAGTGCTAGCCGATAACGACTCTAACATAAGCATTCAGCAGAAGATTATTGAACAGATTGAAGTAAGCGAACATCCAGTTCCAAGTTCTTTACTCCTAGCTTTTTGGCAACAAAATGCACATGTTTCGGATTTTGTAGAAAGCAAGTTTATGCGTCCCTGAGAGACAAAAGAATCTCTATAAGAGAAAAATCAGGACTCCCTCATATTTTTTACTAGTCGTGCTTTAATTTTTGTCTAATGGTATATAGGGGTAAGTTGTCTAATGGTATACAGTATTAAAATTTCTGTAATATAAAATGATAGTTTTCCTCTTTCATACCGTCGTTATGTCTAATTTCAGTATTATTTTGGCGATATTAACTTACCTCGAGATCGATTTCTACAGGAAGAAATTAAGAAAGATGATGGGTGTGAGTAATTTTATTACGTCCGTGTAAAACTCCTTTGTTTCATCTTTCTTGATTGGACTTCCAAAAAAAGCAGAAGATCGAGATAGCCCAAGTTTGACTAGTCTTGGTATTACGACGCAATATACTTCCTTTTTCCTTTTTTTTTTTCGAAACCGATAACAGCCGGTGCTATATTGAAATATATTAAAGATCAAGGGAATTTTTTGTGTATAGGCTATTTAAATACCAACAGCTTTTTTTGCATTTAGGGGTTCAGCTTACAACGATGTTGAAATTTAAACGCTTGGCGCAAATTTCTTCCAACCCTAAAATAATTCGAGAATCCTTGAAACATTCTGAGCTGATGCAGGTGTCCGAAGATGGTAGTAAAATACGACGTAATCCTGCGATACCATTGCCAGAAAATTCGCTTGAATACTGGCAAGTTGTGAAACGTCGTACCGTATACATTGTGAGTTGTTTTGTTTCTTTGCAGTAAGCAACTGTGATCATAACGGAAATGGATTTTTATTTTTATATTCCCTACTTATGTTATACTTCTTTTATGGAGCCTATAAATTGCGAAAAAGTAAGTGGGACGTGTGCTCTGCGGATTGGGACGAATGAAATTATTTCATATAAATTGGACAGTATCTTAAAACATGGTCATTTCTTATCATAAGGAACTTCTTGTCTCGTTTTATTTTGCTGCTTTAACGAAAAAATACATCGGTCCATCATGTCTTTTTTTTTAGAAAGGCTTCGAACGAGAGACAAAATTGGACGATATTTTAGATTTCGTTAAGCAATTCGGTAGTGTTGAAAATGTTATGATGCGTCGTGAAAAATCAGAAAAGCGAGCTTTTAAAGGCTCGGTGTTCGTCACTTATAAAGATCAAAAGACAGCAGAAGCTTTCGTTAACAGTGATACGAAACAGTTCAATGGCAACGACCTTTTGAAAATGATGCAGTAAGGTTTTTATTTTGTCAGTGTTTCCTATGCATTCCTGTCCATAATGTTCAATTCCTCTACATTTGTTTTAACAAGTCAAGTTTTTAAGGCTTGCGAAGGTATATGAGAAGACGTTAGGGAACTGCTTCAGATTTTTGTATTTGGGTAGGGTTATGGGAAAAGGTTCTATATGTCCTCATTTTACATGTCATGTTAGTCTTTTCCATGTTAATGGAATGATGTTTTTCAGGAATGATTACTGGGCGAATAAACAAAAAGAACTGAAAGAAAAACGACTTGCTGCGCGTGTTGCTAAACAAGCTAAGAAGGTTATTGAACATTCGTCTTACATATTTCTTAGATTGATTTTTCTTTTGACTGCGACAAGTTGTTTTACATTTAAATCGTTTCGGCCAACTTTTCTCCCTTAATCTTTTATTTCTAGAAGGCTGTCGAAGCAGAATCAAAAAAAAGAACCTGGAAATGGTACATTTTGTCAAAGGATTAGTGCTATCAGTGGAAAATCTTCCAAAAGAGGATTGCGACCTCACGAAAATTAAAGATTTTTTTAAACAATTCGGTGATGTTCAGTATGTTGTATACGAAAAGGGGGATGAAAAGGTAAGTTATCTATCGGACTTTTTGCTTTTACTTAGCATGAGATATGTCTCTGCTCAAGGTAGTTCAATTATTTATAATGTCGCAGTTTCTTAGTTCTGACAAACAATTTTTAAGGCTCAAATTCGTTTTGGTGGTGAAGAAAACGGTGCTGCTGTTGCTTGGAAAACAGCGGTAGAAAAAGGAGAAGATGGAAAAATAATGTTCGGTGGGAATGAGCTCAAGGGAACTGTGCTTGAAGGCAAAGAAGAAGAAGAATACTGGAATAACTTCAGTAAAAAAAAAGCTGATAAACAGGCGCGAATAGCCAAAAATCGACGGGGAACTAAGGTTCGAGGCCGTGGTCGAGGGCGAAATGATGCGGGAAATGGTGTAACACGAGGCGAAAAGGTAAACATCCAGAGGAGGGTAAACATGTAGTTGGTACAATTTATACTGTAGATTTAAGTGCAGAATTTGGTGAGCTTGTTAATATAGGTCCTTTTCTGTTTTTCTCACGGGGAGATATGAATAATTGACTTAAAGACATGTTCATTTCAGGTTGTGTAACAATTGAGCGTCTTTAGTTATCTGTTTTTACAGAGGTCAGCTGAGGAGGTGGCTGAAGACACACCTGAGAAGAAACTGAGAAAAACAGTATATGAAAGCGAAGAGCCGAAGAAAGCTACCAAAGTAATATTCGCAGATTCGGACTGAACTAACCTGCGTCCTACTTACTATTGACTCGACATTTCCGTCTCGATCCTTTCTGTTTTCTTTATCAAGTTCTGTCTTGATCAATTGTTCTTTGTTAATGTTAATTATTCCTAATGGAAAATAAAAACATGAATCATTTGTGGAGCAGCGGGTTGCACTGCTTTCTTTACCAAGTTCTTTCTTGATCAACCATTTCCATGTGCTTCCAGGTATATTATTTTCCATAATCTTGTATCATGGCAGTGAAACTGAAATGTCACATTCCGAAGATTTTCTATCATGACTCAGCAATAGCGGTATTATTGCTGCTTAAAAGAGTTAACCCTTGTAATCCGTTATCCTAGAAATCTGGGTTCTAATTCTCAATGTCATGAACTGTTTGTACTAAAAGGGGCAGCGGCAAAATAATGGTGATTTAATTCATTATTGCCCGACACGCTCAGTGTAACAGTACGAATTGAGTATCGCCTAATTGTGCACCACTGTCAAATGGTATTGGACTTTGCTGTTAAGTAAATGGATACCAAATCCAACTTGAATTTATTGGGGAAATATACAGTGTGATTCTGATAATCGAAAAAAGTAGCTAAATGATTAGTGACAACAAAAATCCTATCTTCATTGGAACTTATTTCAAATGTAACGTGGTGGATTGGATCTGTCACGTGTTCCATGTTCTCCATAAAAACGCAAATGTATGCATTATACTGAAACTGATTAGATACCTCTTGACTTTTGAAGCATTTTGGGCATATATTTTCTGGAGAGACCTAATAAGGCTTTCTCTTGATAACTTCCAGAAGAAGATTCAGCATCGCAATTCCCTCTTTCCATGAACAGTCAAAATACGTTTTTGCTTTTCTATAGGATCGGACTTCACCATTTTGGAATTATTTATTCACCGAGGTTAACTAAAGTGAACGCAACATCAAGCATATATATATACTTTAGTTTTATGTGATAACAAAACCAACATATCAAAAGTTAGGATACAAAGACGGGAAATAAGAAAATAGAAGAGAAAATCAAAAGTTACAATTCGTCAATAAAAAACAAACAGAAAACAGCTAAATCATTTAGCTTTTTCGAGGGCAGTAATCCGCTCTAATACTGATGGATGTGAATGATTGAACATCGAATAGAGCGGATCGTCAATCGGCAAAACCAAGTTATCCTTGCCAATTTTGATAAGTGCTTTACGTAAGACATATCCGTAACCAAGTTTCTCTGAGAAACGGTCTGCTGCAAATTCCAAATGCCTCGTCATTATCTATAAATGCAAAATTGAATACTGAAAGATCTAGTTCTGCTTTAAATAGACGATTGTTGCAGTTCTCCAAAAAAAAAAGGAAAAATGGAAGGAAAAGCGACGTCAAAGCTATATTGCATTTTGGTAAGTTTTGGTAAATATCCGTGACCAAACAGTCGATTAAATCAGTTGATTAATAAAGTTATAAAAGCAATTTTCAAAGATGAACCGTCAAAAGGAATGAGGACAGTTCATTATACGGGGCGGTGATATACTGGAAAACAATCATGAATCCAATAATCGTTGGTTTTGAGTCGTAGAAGCCAAATGCATGGAAAAGCGAAGTGGCGCGATAAAACTTCGCAAATATAACAAGTAGTAGCAACAAATTCATCTAAATATTAGCAAATAAAACTCTCTAACATTCAAATATCCAGAAACAAAAACAAAAAATTCTCATTTTCAAAATATAGTTTTTTTTTCTACCAGATTTCTCATTCGTAAAAAGCTTGTTTCAGATCCGATAAAAATTACCTCAATAAAAACGATGTGGACAGCTATATGCCATAAAGCCCAATGTCCAAGTTCGTGACCAAGGACGGCCAAAACTTCATTGTCTTGCATACCTAGTTTACTCTCCCTCATTTCTTCGTCACCCTTATCAAAACTTTTTTCCTTCTCCTGATAAATATAAAAATATATTTAAGAACATTGCCGCTTTCAAAATTACTTGAATGATCTCTAAACTGAGAAATGCAAAGATAATTTGCCTTTTTTAAAGTAGGTCAACAACATTCTAATTTTGACACTTATAAATACTAACTGTAGAAAAGCAACCATTCTCCTTTAGTTTTGCCCTCATTTCTTCACCAAATAACGTATCATAGAGCACAATACATTTATTGTTCCAAAAGCCGTATAAGTAGGCATTGCTATGCGCTGATCGTTTTGAACCTAAAACAGAAACTTTGAAGTAGACTGTAGCTGCGCGTGCATGATGTTCAAAGGGCAATAAATGCTTAAGAATTCAATCGTTAAGGAATTTAACGAAAAGAAAATAAAAGATTCGAATCTCCTTTACAACTTCACCATGGACAACAAGTAGTTTCTTCAGTGGAAAGTTAAGACTTTTTGCAAGTTTTTCGATTTTTTGCTTCAGCTCACTTTCAGGAAGTGGAACATATTTGTCGAACAATGGAGCTATGAATTCGGGATAAACCGTCATTAACAGCTGAAAATTTCAAAAGTCGAACTGCTTTTAAATGAAATAGTTACGAGAAAATCTCCAATTTTTTGTTAAGAAAAATAACTTACAAAAATGACAAGTGAGAGGAAGATCCAAGTATAAAAAAGAAATATGGTCCTCCACGTTCCACAATGTACACAACTGCAGCCACTATTGGTGCCATCACAAATAATGACACCACCATCTTTTTAGTTTTATCTTTTAGGAAAAAACCCAATGTCTGCAAATTTCCTTTTGACATTTAAATCTTTGATTTGAAAATGAATTAAACACATGTTCACTTATGCAATAAACTTTTACAATAAACAAAACGGTTTAGTAAACGGTATATGCACTGGAATCATATCACCGTCTATCCGAAAAAAAAATCACTTCAATCATTTTTATTTAGAAGGAACTCGGCTTTGTATATTGGAAATTTCGATTATATAAAAATGACCTGCTTATTAAACCCATGTTGTTCTTCGATTACGAATGTGTCGTATAGCTCCCACGGCATATTGATTAGATATTCAATCACCGATGCTAACGAAATGAAGGTTATTGTTTGCGCAATCTGGAAGGCTAATTTTCATTCTTATCTTTCTAATGAAAATCCATGTACTGCTAATAATAATTCAACTGTCATTTGGAAAGCATACCTAACTGAATCATCGAATAAAATAGATACCTTCCATCATCTCCTTTCTTCCTTCTTCATAAACAGAAAATGACACGTGTCAAAAAACCTACTTCGCTCGTATATCCAAATTTCAGATTGAAAGCTCCACTTTTGTTCCATAGAATCTGAGGTAAGCAGAATATCAGAATTGCCTGCAATTCCCAAAACTTGAATGCAGCAAAGAGCAGCACAAAGAGCTAAGTCGAGCATCTTATAAGTGTCTAACACAGGTTTTAAATCAAAGAGAAAGTGCCACTTACCATCAACTCTAACTGCGAATATATAGAGTGTACAAAAGAAAAGCGATGCTTGTCAAGTCTGTATGTTCGAGCTTTTCGATATTCTTCTTCGCTCATTATTTCGCTCACTTCATCTGGTCGTTTTGCTGTATCACGATGAACACGATACTACAAACTTGTATTTATTATGCAAGTTAATCGTGCGACATTACCCACTTCACTCGAATATAGCTGAACCATGATAATTTACGGCGCTAAGGTTTTTGCACTGGGATAAGTTATGCAGTTTTAACCACAGAGCGAATAAGGGGCTTATTTTATTGCAGAATCAGCAAACTTTGTAGCGATGCTTTGCACTTTCATAAAATATTTTCCGCTCTGCTCTGATTTAAATTTCATGGATGTAAAACTAGGTAGAGTAATCTTCTAATTTTATACTCTTCCAGAAACACACTGACTGGTCAGATATCACTAAAACTGAAAGAGAAAAATCAGCGGTTAAAGTGAAGTGCTTGCTCACTAGTCAAAACAAATATCACTTATCATTTTGTTCCACATTACATTTTTAAGTCAATAATTCCGCGGCCATATACAGTGAACAAATACTGGAAATGTTGAATACTCAGTACTGAACGAGAACGAATATTGAACCAAATACTGAACGAAAAATTCCAAAGCTTACCTGTCGCAAAGAAAGATAGAAATTCCATGAGAATACTGACCACGTTATAAGTACTATCAACCAAAACATCGGAACTTTGGCCTGAAAAAACAGAATATTTCCAAAAGAATTCTCTAGCAAACCCAATTAATAACTGCGATATTTATCCGTACTGCAACTCTTTACAAATACTGGGAGTGCCAGTCATACCAAACTAACCACAAGCTTAGACCACAAACTCCCTTCACGGCTATCAAAGTGTTTCGTATTCAGAACCCTTCCACCACAGTTCAAACGACAGAATCCATTAAATAACAAAGAAACGAAAGAAAGTGAAATAAAGGAACTATTCGCCCTCAATCTCTCTTCAAAAACCATTAACAAATATAAATGACTCTAGTTACTTTCAAAAATATTGCAGTTCTTCAAAAACCATAGACTAAAAAGCAGCATGTTCCAAGTGAAACGTATATCCATGATATTTCCCAAATCACAGAACGAAGAAGGTGAGGAACAGTAAGCATTCCAATTTTATTCATAGCACAAATAAATAACTAATCAAGAAATGAGGAAAAAATCCATAATGAGAAGACTGTAAAATATTTCGTAGTATTTCATGAATGCTATGAATTTTAACTCTAAGACATTGCAAATACCTGATTTCTGGACAAATCAGCTTTTCGGAAACAATGAAAGCACTGACAAACGACCTTTGAAATACTAAAATCAGGAACAATTATACTGAACTTTATCGCAGCTTCAATTAGACGAGGCCTGAATGCAACTTGTATCTCCTACTATACTAACATTCTCTGCATGAAGTGAGTAGGGAATACATTTTTATAGCGAATAAAGATATGACAATTAAAAATACAATACAAAACAATATGCAAATGAAAGTGATAATCTACAAAACAATCAAATTACATGATTTAAAGCAGTAGAACTTTCGTCATGGAGTCATCCAAAAATAAATTCTGCATATAGGAGCATATAGGATTACAATGTTCGCAATGAATTAACAAGTCAAAGGAACGTATGCCATCCCTATTTGGTAATGCACTATG